GAAGTTCAAGAGAGTAGCCTTCTAAAAGTAGAGTAAACAAGGAGTTATAAATATTATTAGAGTTAAAAACAAGATGTAGTGAGTTAAGGTAATTGCAAGCTAATTTATTAGCTTTGTTGTTTAATATATTGTTTTAATGTGCTTTTACTTTATGAAAAGTAATTTGTAGATTATAGGATCAAAAAAGATTAAGAAATATGTTTTATATAGGCCAATATGATATATTAGAAAGGTTATGGCTAATTGAATATTGAGTTAAACTAAGATATTTAGATATGACAAATTGGTAATCTGTATATGACAGTTAAAAAATTTTTTGATTAAAGATATCTCAACCTATTTTTATAAATTTTGAGTCACTTGATAACTCGAAAAAAGATATAAACTAATTTGCTAACAACTAGCTATTTCACTAACAAAGTTAGTTTGGTTTATATTGAGTTGGCCTAATTTATACAATTTTGTTTAATTGAGAAGACATCTTGATGAGAAATTTCTTTTTGAGAAATATCTCAGAAATACTTCTTTTTTGTAAAACATCCTTTTGTGAAAATATATTAAATATTTGTCAATAAAAAAGCTTTAGAAAAAATTTTTGTCTAGAGAATAGGAGTCTGGAGAAAGAGTTTTGTTAGTGAAAAAGTCTGTCAAATAAAATTTTTCAGAATTTTGAGTTATCAGAGAATTGGTTGTGTTAGAAAAAAATAATTAGTAAAAAATTTCTATTAGTAAAATATATTATCAGAAATATGTCTTGTTAGGAAAAAGTGTTATCAGAATTATGGAGTCATAGAAATAATACTTCGTGAAGATAGGTTTTGGCAAAGTGAAAATCAATAGCTTATAGTGAGTATCATTAGATAGTCTAGTGTAACACAACTTGATTACTGTAATATACAATATATAATAAGTTCTCAAGTTCTTAATTAATAAAGTTTACAGTGTATAAGCAATTTATTAATAAAAAAAAAAAAATTTAATATACTAATCTAGGTCCAATAGGCCTAGATTAGTATATTAAATTTATAATACCCTGATTACTATTCAAGATCATGAGAGTATTAATTAATAATACCCTAACTATATATGAATTAGCAAGACTTTCAGCCTGCTAATACTTAATAGATCAGGATATTATTATTACAAACAATTTTTTTTTTATAAAAAAATAAAATTTATTTAATATTTTGGCTTTAAATTTAATATACTAATCTGGGCTTAACAGGCCCAAGTTAGTATATTAAATTTAAAGCATTTTTATTTTTTTTATAAAAAAATAAAATTTATTTTATATACTTGGCTTTAAATTTAATATACTAACCTGGGCTTAATAGGCCTAGATATATATATTAAATTTAAAGCATTTTATTTTTTTCTAAAAAATAAATTTATAAACTTAATTAAATACAATTAAACCTAAAAATAAAAATAAAATTAAACCTAAAATTAAGTAGAATTAGAGTTAAACTAATATTAAAAATAAATTAAAACTAAGATATGTTAGAGTTAGAGTTAGAGTTAGTATTAGCTTTAGATAATAGAAGCATTGTGAAGATTAACTATAGCAAACAACTACTAAGTAAGCAAAGTGAGCTTAGTTAGTATTACTAAGTGTTAGTAAAGCAATACAAGTTATATTGTCTTTAATAAAGTTGTTTTTAGAGAATGTTTAGTTGTGTATTGCTAATAAATAAAATTAAAACCTATTAAAATTATTAAATAAAATTTTTTATTTTTTTATTTTTTAATCTTTGAAAGATCTCACCATAACTTGATCTCTTAGTTTTATTATATATTTAATAGTAAATATATAGTTTAATTTCTAAGACTAAACAAAGCCCGATATCATCTGAGTAAGAATACCCAAATACAACCTATCGCACTGTGCTTCTGAGAGCTCAGAGTCTAAATTAGTCCCTATTCAAAAGTTTTTACTTAATTTTTTCTACCTAAATCTTGGCAAAAAGGCTTCAAACTAGCCTGTTTCTCTATTTATATAGTAAAAGAAAAGTAAAAAACAAAACAAATATATAAAAAAAAACAAGGAAATACAAATATAAAGAGAAAACTAACTAAAGATGGAAAATAACAAAAACCTAAATGTAGAGTCCTAAAAAAAACAATAGAACAAGATAAAAAAAACAAGTAAAAACCCAAATAAGGCTTACTACTATTTTTAAAAAAATTATATAATACTACGAATAGCAGAAGTCTCTACTCTAGCTCTATTCTGTATTATATATACTGAGAAAAATATAAAAAACCTTTCTGAAACTGTAAAGAATTAATAGCCTATTTATGCCTGTGCCAAGGCAAAAAAATTATATATTAACAGCAATCAATCAATATATCTCATTTGTAAAGCTTCTTTTATCATTAAAAACTCATTCTGATTATATTACCAGAGTCAGGTATCTTCTAAATAGGGGTACTGGTTCTTTCCCCATAATGTAGCACTGTGTTGATAAACAAAACAAACACATAGTTATATTCTACTAAGTTTATCCAAATTTGGTAAGTATAAACAATCCTAATCTTTTAGAGAAGGTGAGCCAAAATATCTATTTTTTGTCAGAAATTTTGGTATAGTCAGCAAAGAAAGAGAAAGCCTAGAATAGTCATACTTATACCATAAGCAAGAAGTATGAGTTTCATTGGCTAAATCAACAGAAGTCTTTGTCAAAGCATGCATAGTACTAAGTTTTCTCAGTAAGTGATAAACTCTAAACTTGTTGGCAGATAGCATATGAAAACTATCTTTAAACAACAAACACCATGCCTGTGATAAGTAATTAACTCTGAAACTACTGGCAAATAATGTATGAGAACTATCTTTAAACAATAGTTGCTGGCTTGTAGTCCTTTTCCTCATGTTTTAAAGTCTAGCATCAACTTTCTGTTTATTTTTAAGTCTGTAGATTTTTAAAAAAAAATTTGGTACAAGTGATCATCAAAAAGAGTGAATCCTCAAAAAAAAAGGATTATTAAATAAAATTAAAAATATTTATTTTATTAAATTTTTTATTTAATAATATTAAAGTCTAATACTATTCACCAATTTAAAAACTATATAAAAGTTAAATTATTTATTTAATAATATTAAAATATCAAAGCAATATATTAGGTTAAAGAGTACATATATTTCTCACCCAGGATGAGATTTGATATTACTCACTCTCCAAGATTATCCAATAAACGTGTAAGATCAGATATAATGTGTATAACATATAAATCATCATTGTATAACAAAACAAAGACATTTTTTTAAAAATTGCTAATATTTTGCTATTTTGCTTATGAAACTACTTTTTAGGTTCTAACAAAAAAGATTTTTTACATAATTTTACACATAATACACTCAACCCTAACCTGCTAACGTCTTAGGTTTAATTATTTTTTTAAAAAAATGATGAGGTGTGAATAATTCACCTAGGTGATGAATAAATTATTTCTAAGTTAAAAACAATTAATTATATTAAAAAATAAAAATTATATTAAGTTTATTATTTAATAATATTAAAGTCTAGTTCTTTAAATTAAGTTAAAGACTATATAAAAATTAAATTATTTATTTAAAAATATTAAAAATTGAAATAATATATTAAGTTAAAACCTATTAATTATAATATAAAATAAAAATTATATTTAGTTTATTATTTAATAACATTAAAGCCCAGTATATATTATACACCAAATTAAAGACTATATAAAAAACAAATATTATATTAAGTTTATTATTTAATAATATTAAAGCCCAATGCTACACACCGGGTTAAAGACTAGTATTATTATTATTTTAAAATTATGGGTCTAAAATTAATATTTAAAAATTTTTGCCAAAAATTAGCAATTACTGTTTGTATACTAGTATATATATACGGAGTATGTTATTTCTCAAAAGTTCAATTATAAAACCACCTTTTAGTTTCTAATAAAGAAAATTTCTTGTTAAATTTTAGTATAAACTATTCCCACCTCAATCCAAAACCTTACCCTTATCCTAACTATAAACTAGAGTTTATTTTTTTTGTTTTATAAAAATTTGATTAGCATTTCGCGAATTTGCAAATTAGACTCGTGTATATATATGCAGATTCTTCTTTCTTTATTGTTGATATAATTATTTGTATTATCTATATTATATGTAGCTATCCACTTTGTGTATTAACTATATTATATTTCTATCTGTATTATTTTACCAATAAATTTTATTCATATTATTATTATTAAAAAATTTATAATTGTTAGTATGCAGGTGTTTAATTCTGTAATTTGCAATTTTATATAAGAAGCTAAACAAATCTATTTTTACGAATGAAAATTAAACCCCTTGCTTATAGTTAGGTTTAGAATTGGAATAAGGTATCATTTTTATTAAAATTTAGAAAAAAGATTTTTTTGTTAGAAGCCAAAAGATAGTTACATAATTGAAATTTTGAAATATCAGTAGGTTTTTATATTGCTTGGGTACATACACCTCATGTACCAATAAAAATTTCTATAAAGAAAATAATTATAAATTAAATTAAAAGGCAATTTTAAAATACTAATAAAATATTAAAAATTATTAATTACTTACCAAAAAAATCTAAATACTGTGTAAATTAGGAAAATAATTAATACTAAAAATATTAACTGTAATTAATAGTATCTATTTTAAAAATTATACTATATAATTTTGCTTATATTTATTTTAAGTTTAATCTTGAAATTTTTAGCAAATAAATCTATTAATACCCTGATTACTATTCAAAATTATGGGGGTATTAATTAATACACTCACCATATATGAATTAGCGGAACTTTCAACCCCACTAATATCCAACAGATCAGGATATTTTTATTACTAATATTTTAAAATCTCTAATAACAAGTATTATTGGTATATATATCTATTAGGATGAATTATTACTAAATGGAGTCAATAGAAGCCAGCCAACTTAATTAACATTGATTAGTTTGACCAATTTATCATTAGGCTGAGCTATCAGTAAATGAGGTTAGAGATTAGAACCTTTTTCTTCATTGACTTTATTAGATTTTTTAACTGGAACTATTTGCTTTATAGAGTTTTCCATTGCTTCATTGGTTTCTCTATTAGTTTCATTTTCATTTGTTTTATTAGACTCTATTGTTCCATTGGAAATATTCTTAATAAACAAGATCTATTGACAACCTTGTAATGAAGATAAATATTTACTATTTGCATGTTATTTGTATCAACAGCACAAATCGCTTCACAACGTACTTACGTACTGTATGTACACATACCAATACTGTATGTTTAAAACATGCACCACAAATTAGGGTATGTGATATTAAATGATTTACAAACATATATAACATAATTAGTAAATCAGAATAAGTCAAGATTTTTTCTGTTGATCTTTTTTTTAATCGTTAATCATTTTAATATATACAGTATATAAAAATTTTTTTTTTAATATTAACTGAATACTTTTTTTTTATTTAAACATTAACTGAATACTTTTTTTTTCATTCCTGAGAGCAATTATATATTATCTTTGAAATAGTACATGGTGGTAAAATCTCAATAAACTGGACTTTATAAACTATTTTTCATTCTATTAGCTAATATATGTAATTGAATTAACTTCAATTAATCAAATATCATGCTAAACTGAAAAAATGTTAAATACACATATCTGGCTTATTGAGGTTTACTGTGTATTTACTTCTTTAATAAAGATTCAAGATATAATTTTGCCACTTCTTGTCCACTTACTTGATTACTTGCTTCTATATTTTTTTGTCTTCTTAGTTCTTGTCAAATATCCTTAAGATCAGAATTATTTATTTTGAGTGATGTATTAGATAGACTAGCTTGAATTAAACATGCCTCTTGTAACTCCATACTCATAGTTGGATGAACTTTATAATTATATTGATTGAACATTTCTTCTAACTGTTGCTAATGAATTACTATACTCCAAATATGAAACTTAACAAAATCATATACCAAAGGAAAGTTATAAAGCAGCATTGTTGGTGAGTAAGCAAAATTTTTAAATTTTTCAAAAAATTTTAAATCTTCTAATGCCTCTCTTAATTCTAATGTATCTTCAATTTCTTTTTTTATATCTTGCTCTAAATTATTTTTAAATTCTATTACATCATCAAAAAGCTGTTCTTGTACTTCTACAGAAAAAAATACTGAGAGAAAAGCAGATGCAAATACTGATCTTTTTGATTCTCCTAAAGAACAAATGCTTAAAGGCAGGTGTATTCAAATTTTTATCCACTTAATAAATTTTGATAATGCTTCTTTAATACCCAATTCTAATGTATTACAAAATAATTCATATTCTATTGGTTCTAATATTGTATGAGCTTCATGCAACTCTTCATTAAAATAAGCACTAATATTTTGTTAAGCAATTTCTAAATCATTAATCCAATCAGAAACAGCTAATAGCATTTCATGTGCTCTATTACCCAGTGGAAAAGTAGTTAAATTATTTGTTTTAAAATTATATATACAAGGAATAGAATCAGATTTTGTAACAAAGTCATAAATAGATAAGTAAAATTCTTGTCCAAATTTAATTAGATATTTTAATTCAATATTTACTTTGTTATCTAAAAGCCATTTTTGAAATAATTTCCATTGTGCAATATATGTTTTTGGAACAGATCGATTTGATTCAATAATTGGTATAAACCAATTACAGAATTGAAAATGCATATCACGCTGAGCCAAATATTGTTGTGCACTATTAACTTATATTTTCACCATGTTTGAATAGATTGCTAATATTTGGTAAAGTAAAAATTTAATAATTTTTCATATAGTGTATGAATATATTCTAATTTTATGTTCATTGGATTATCTTTAGTAGTTAATCCATAACCATCATGTAATTTAAATGCAAGATTTAAAAGATTAAATAGATGTTTTTTTAAAGATCCTCATGGTCCATCAATTTTTCCAAATACGATATTTTCAAATGAAATTAAAGAAATATGTGTAGCATGAAGAGCACAAGGGATTCTAATAGCCTTAGTTAATTCTAAGGTATTAAATTTTTTTATAGTACCATTAATTTCAGATGACATGTAAGCTGTGTTGTCACTTAACCAGAAATAACATCTTTTTGTATTTATTTTATTTTTTTTTACAGATTTTAAGCATATTAGTAGCAACTGAATTTGCATTACAACTTAATAAATCAACTGCACCTAATATAGTAAGTTGTGGAAATTTTTTTTCAATATTCCAACAAGTTGTGGCAATTATTAAAATTTTTTTTCTCTTCTCTTTTGCTTTTATCAGAAATAATCCAAATCCATAATTTGAAATATTATAATTTTGGGGCTTATTTTCTCTAAGACTTAATAGAGCTATTTCTTTATTCCATCTTGATAATGTACTACCACTAATCCATGTTTCTAATAAAATTTTTTAGAGCAGGTTATAGCTAATCGTATTGACATATTTCCTGTATTGCTAATATCCATTACTAGTTGCATAAATTGAGTTGAATATTCTTTATTATTAAGTTTAAATAATTTTTTAACTGATTTGTCTAATTTTTTAGGTATAACCTTTTGAATTGCTAAGCATAATTTTGATATTTTTTCACGTATAGTTTTTTTACTTTTGGTTACTTTAATTCTAAGTGATTTTATTTTATCTTGAGACTTTTCAACTTTTTTAGCAAGTTGAATATTTTCTTTTTCTAAACTTGTAATTTTCTGATTTATAGATTCTGCCTCTAACTTTTTTTTATATAAGCCATTTTCTAATAACTTTAATGCTTTTTTTTGATAATAGGTTGAAAGAATTCTTCTAGTATTTTTTCCTTTAGTATATACCATATGATTTAGCATATAATTAGTATCTTTTAATTGATTATCAGGAATATTATCTATCTTTATATGCAATTTTTCATGTATATTTTCTAATTTATTAAAATTTTTAGCCTCATTTTGATCGGTTTTAGATTTTGGTTGTATTTGTCCTTGTTTATACAATGCTTTAATTTGGCGTGCTTTTTTTAAATAAGTAATTTGTTTTTTGGGTGGCATTTTTTAACTTTAAATAAATACACAACTGTAATTAGTATTTATTTTTTAAAAAAAAACCCAAATTTAGATTTTTATTTTAATACTTTTTAAACTAATAGAGCCATTTTTGGCAAAATAAACAAAATTTTTAAACTTGCATTATTGAAAACTTTTATTTATATCAAAATTTTAAACAATATAATTATGTTTTTTATATATTAATTAATTTTATTAAAATTTAATGAAAATTAAAAAAACTTTCTATTACATGATAGTAGTATATCTAAAATATTTAGCATTATAATAAAATTTTATTATATTGCACAGTTAACGCGTTCTATTCTTTTTTATAACGCGTATTTTTATAAGTAAAAAAAAGATCAACAAAAAATCATATAATATTAAATATAAATAATGATCTACAATAGATTTGTAAATCATAGAATATTGCATCCCCTAATTACAAATAGAAATACAAATAACAAACATGCAACATTTGCATAATTGAATTAAGCCTAATATTAATATAGTTAAATAATCCTGGTAGAACCCTGCATAATATTTTGTAAATTTTATCCCAAAACTGTTATGATTATTGGTTGAACCTTATTTTAATCAATTAGAATTACAGAAAAGTAGGTGATGTAGCCATATACCTTCAGTTACTATTGTTAATATCATTCCTAATCAAGCGCTGTATATATTTTACATGAAAATAGAAGGTTGCTTTGATTATGTATTCAAAAGTAACAGAAAGCTAAATTTTTTAAGCATATACATATATATAAATATCAAATGAATTAAGAAAAATCATTACAACACTGTTATTTTGAAATACGATGGCATCAAAAAAGGTTTCTTTAATAACTTCTCTTTCTTTAGTATTCAAAGACCTAAAAAATGAAATTTCTAAGCATTTTGAGAATTCAGAAAAAGAATTAAAGTTGGTTTATAAATTAATTCATACTGCCATTTTTCAAGAACCTATAGATGATTCAATACTCAAGGTAAGCCTGCATTGTTTTTTTTTCAAATAAATGATTTTAATGTAGGTAGCTGATAATAATTAATAACTAAAATATGGTTTATAGATAGAAAGTTTGCTTAAACTCATGTCTGAAAAATCTACAACTCATCCAGAAATTATTAACATTTTATAAAGACTTTTAATCACACAACTGTAGAATGATATCCAAAAAGCACCACGCATGTTGGCAAATTATAGTTATCGTGGCAGTGACAGTTCTGATTACAGCAGATACAGGAATTTTTTACAACTAGGAAAAGCTGATTTCCAATATCCATGTTCAGTTATTATTTAAGCACCTTTTAATCAACTTCCTGATTCAAGTAGAATTTTTGATAATCTCATGAAGCATAATAAATTCATCTCTTATCTTTTGGGTATCAGTGCAACACTGTTCTATTTTGCATAATAATTACACATGATTTATTCAATTCTGATTCTCAAAATTATTCAATCAATCGAAATTCTTCTTATCTTGATCTTTCTCCATTGTATGAAAGTAGTGATAAAGATCTGGCAAAAGTTTGTGCTGGTGACTTAGATTGCTTAAGACCAAATACATTTGCAAACTCAAGAATATTGATTCAACTATCTGGTATAGGTGCCTTGTTGGTAGTTTTTTTGCGGAATTATAACTATATTGCAAATTACTTTTATAAAACAAGCAAATTCAAAGATGATAAACATCTTTTTCAAACTGCTTGATTGATTAATTGTAGTTATTATCTGAAAATCATTCTCCATAATTACTTTAGAGCTATACTTGGTCTTGACCGGACTAAGTCAACCTGGTACCTTGATCTACTAAAGCCTTATACTAATAATAATTCTTTATTTCAGCTCTTACTTACCAGAATTAGTAATGAAGCCTCTTTGAAGTTTAATTTTATCTATCGATAGTATCTGGCTATCACAGAAGCTAATGAGAAATGGATTAATGAAGAGTTCAAATGTATTTTGGGAACTGATAATCCAGATAATGTAAACATTTCTACTTATATAATTACTCCTTTTATAGTAGAATAATCAAATATATTAATAATTCTATTATTTAAAATAGGTTGACTTTAAAACATTTATTAAGAAATTAAAAAAATAGTCCAGTGAACTACCCAAAGATCTATCTAAATAGATATTTAATAATATAAAACAAGATAAAGATGGCAAATTTAAAGATAGTAATATTGCTGATGAGCTTATAAAAGGAACAGAAAAAGTTGCTGGTAAAATAATATAATACAGTCAACTCTTTCTAATCCGACCAGTCCGTTCTTATATGTAAAATTGGTCAAAAAGTTCAGTTCTCAAAGAGATACTATATGCTAATCCGAACTTTATAATAAAATTTACAAATGTCATGGAGTTTTAGGTTCGGATTAGAGAGAATTTAATAGTGTTCGGATTAGAGAGGTTCGGATTAGAGAGAGTTGACTGTATAATCATCAAAAATTTATTATTCATTATTTAAGTTTAACAATTAGTTATATTAGATAGATGCTTTTGGTACGAATAATACTCCTTCATCTTTACAAATTGTTGAGATTATTGGTATTGAATCAGCCAGATCTTTGGGTATAGCCAGTCTTAACGACCTCCACAAGTCACTTAATTTGGTGCCTTATACTTCATTTGAGAATATAATAGCTGATAAAGAAGTAGCAGCAAAACTCAAAACCCTTTATGGTAATATAAATAATGTTAAATTATACCCTGGTCTCATGACAGAAAAGACCAAACCTTCTAATACAATCAATTTAGCATTTGCTTTTCCTTTTACAATTAGCTGTGGTATTTTATCAGACATAGTTAATCTAATAGGAAATGATTGATTTTTCACTGATGACTTAAACTAGTATAATATAGCATATTGGAACTGAAAAAATCTTGAAGTACCTAATAAACAATTAGTTAGAGAAGGTGTTTTACATCAACTCCTTCTAAAAAATCTTCCTAATTGTTATTCTCCCAATTCAGCTTATGCTTTTTATCTATTCACTGTGTCTGCAAAAACAAAGGAGATTCTAAAAAAGTAGCAGCAAAACTCAAACCCTTTATGGTGATATAAATAGCGTTGAATTATATCCTGGTCTCATGACAAAAAAGACCAAACCTTCTAATACAATCAGTTCAGCACTTGCTCTTCCTTTTACAATTAGCCATGATATTTTATTATATCCAGTTAATCTCGTATGAAATGATCAATTTTGCACTAATGACTTAAACCAGTATAATATAGCATATTGAACTGGAAAAATCTTGAAGTTCCTAACAAACAATTAGCTAGAAGTAGTGTTTTATATCAACTCCTTCTAAAAAATCTTCCTAATTGTTATTTACCCAATTCTGTTTATGCTTTTTATCTGTTCACCATGTCTGCAAAAACAAAAGAGATTTTAAAAAAACATGGTAATAACTTTTGGGAGAAAATTAATTATAATAGGCCTAATCCACAGATTTGAAGCAATGTTGACTTCTGTAAAATAGCTATAAATATATTGAATAAGAACCTCTAATAATGTATGACCAATTTTTCAAAGATTACTTGAATCCAATCATTAACATAAAATATGAATGAATGAACTTTTATTTTTATTTAAATTTTCACCCTTTTAATATTAATAAATACATTAAAAAAGATAATGTTTTTGCAAACTCATAAATTCTCTATTAAGTATAATATCTATCTTGTAAAATGGCCTCTAATAAAAATTTTATGGTGAAATATAAATAATTACTACACAAATATCATATTTTATCTATTACTATACATTAAAAAACTTTCTGCAAAGAAGCTACATTGAATATTCTTGTAACATGTGCCTGGGATTTGGAGTTTTTCTTTGCCTGTGAAATAGGGATGATGATTTTCTGTTTTGGTTAAGACTAAAAACTAAATTCTGTGTGTGATTAAGACAAATTCTGTGATTTAATGTGGTAAATTTTTAAAATTTACCAATTTCTACCAAATTCTGAGACATTCTGTGGTGACTAAGAGCTACTGTAAACCTAAATTGTATCCTAAATTTTTGTTTATTTTTAGACATAAATTATTCAATAAACAATGTCATGTGATTATAAACCACTGTTTGACCAATCAGATCTTTGACAATCAATCTATTTTTAGAATATGAACATTAAAAAATTGCAGAATTGGTTTCATTCAAGTTAAAATGCTCAATAAATTATTATACGTATCAAAGTAAGGTAAAAAGTGAAATACTGAAATTTATTGAGTGTTTAAAACAAACTATTCAAGTTCATGGATATATTCATGTTAATTTAATTTGTAAATTACAGTATTAAGAATCAAAATTTTCAAAATAAGTATTCAGATTTATAAAATATTGGGGAATTTACAAATAAGGACCAAAAAAGTAAAACAATTACATATAAGGGCCCTATTTTAGAAAATTTTACAAAATCTCATGATACAGTAAACGAAATTTAATGATTTTAATACCATTTGAATCGTCTCGTCAAGACGAATCGGATGGTACTAAAATTGCTAAATTTAAATTACTGGATTACGAGCTATTCGACATTTTCTAAAATCTGTTTAAATCATATATCTCGTTATCCAGTAATTTAAATTTAGCAATTTTAGTATCATTCGATCCACCTTGATGAGACGATTCGAATGGTAGCAAAACCATTAAATTTCGTTCACTGTATCATGAGATATAGTAAAATTCTCTAAAACATGGCCCTTATATGTAATTATTTACCTTTTTGGGCCCTTATTTACTATTTATGCCAGACCAATTTAATTATCTGTTTAACATAATCCCCCCTACTCTGTTTTTTAAAATTTTGTATGAAAAACACATAATATTAACCGATCAAATTGTAGTATTAACTTTTGCATTTTATATTTTTTACAGCCAATAAAATTACTGTATTTTTATTTCTGTGTTTTTTTTTAATGCCTTCCCTCACTCTCGTAAGCGACTTTTATGTTATATTAAACAGAAAATTAAATTGTAGTAGCCTTAGTTTCATTTGTTTGTATTAATTTAGGCAAGTATGAAAATAAGCTATACAAGTTCATGAATATTTACTATTTAATTTTATATAGATTGTTTAAATTTAGCACATGAGCATAAAGAAATTTGTTAATTTTTAAGTATTTAAAATTTTAAGTTCACATTTTGTTCGCGGTAATTTAGATTAGAGTTGGCTTTGAAACCCTTTGCACCAAAATCCGAAAGTTTCAGGTTTCGGATTATAGCTTCCGAAACCTTATCCGAAACTTGAAACCTCACCCGAAACCCGAAACCTCATCCGAAACCCCGAAACTGCAGAGCTTCAATTTTCATACAGAATTATGCCATGCAGGCAAATAAAATTGCTTTTCGTTACCCGACCGAGTAACTTTTTTAGAAAAGTTACAGCTGTTCTCATAAATTTTGGGATAACAAAAAATTTCTAATGGCCGAACTCGGAAACTTATCGAACTCGGTCATCAGAAATTTTTCGTTGTCCCGAAATTTATGAGAACAGCTATAAAATCCTTTTATATAAAATTTTTATTC